TTTGGGGTTATTTTGGGATGGCATGCCACTATTTTTGGTTTCCCTGATCACCTCATGCATGCTTAATACACTTGTTATGTAAATTTCATAAACTAGTCTTGTATGCTTCATGAAGTAGCATGTCTTTCTAGCTTATGTTGACTCCATTTCAGTAGGTTTTTGGTGTTTTTTTAGCATGCCATGACTCTGTTTTGGGTGGGTTTGATGGCCCCTCACATGCTCCATGCACTTGTAGTGTAATTTCATGAAGTAGCCTAATATGTACCATGCTTTAGACTATCATTTTAGCATGTTTTTGGCTTAATTCTAAGAACCTTTTGTCCATGTTTTAGCATGTTTAAGCTCTGATTTGTGTTGTTTTGGTCATGCATGCCATGCTTTGTATAGCTATAGTGCATTCTAGCTTGTTAGCTTTGTGTATCAAGTCCACTAGCATGCATTGCTTGGCCTATTTGAATGATTTGGCATCATTTGAAATGTGATTTCAGTCCAAGTAGTGTGGTCATACACTTACACCTTTCACTTATTCAATGCGTTGGAGTGTTTGCCCTTTATGCCTTAAACATAAATCGTTGCGTATGCCTTCATGCCTAAGCTTGTGAGCTATCATTTCAATGTGTTTTTGGGGTTATTTTGCCATGATATAACTCTAATTTTTTTTGGTGAAGCCATCTCATGCTTGGTCTTGGTAGGTGTAGTGTAATCCACCTTATTTGCCTTGCATACTCCATGTTTTGGCCCTTCATGTTAACCTATTTTGGCTTCCTTCCATACATGTTTTAGCATCATTTTGACATTCTCTAGGACTGTTTTGGGTTGTATTTTCCATATGCTTCATGAATTGCATAGCTGTAGTGCAATTGGCCTTACTAGCCTTGTGTTTTGATGCCTCATGCATGCTATCTTTGAGCTATTTGGATGGTTTGGCATCATTTCTCATGTTATTTCAGAGCATGTAGCATTGTCATGTTCCCACTTCATTCACTCTTTAAGTGCCTTTGAGTGTTGTGCATTTGTTGCCTAGCTTATGGACCAATGTGTATGCCATCTTGCCTAGGTGTTTGAGCCCCCATCTCAGCATGTTTTGGTCTTTGTCCATGGTTGGTTCATGCCTTTGTGCCATGTATTGCATGTCTCTAGAGTAGTCCTCTTTGCTAGCTTTAATGCTTAAGGACCTTTGCATGCTATACTTGTGTTGATTGAGTGATTTGGCATCATTTCATACCTTATTAGAGAGCTTATAGTGTTGTTACACTTCCATATTTGTCACTCCTTGAGCACTCTTAAGAGTTGTGCTCTTAGGCCTAGTTGATGGGCCGATGCATGGGCATGCTTGGTTTTGCATTTCATCCCTTCGTTTCATCATTATGGCCACTGTTTTGGGCATGGCTGAGGTCTGCCCACATTCGGTTTAAGTCCATTAAGCATTGTGTATTCCACGTTACATCGCATTGTGCATGTTATGTTGTTGTTGGCATTGTGCATGCTATGTTCTTATTCGCATTGCGTATGCCATAATCACATTGCATTGAGTATGCCATGTTATTAAATTGCATTGCATTTTCATATTGCATACTTGTCCCTTGCATTGCATGTTTGTATGCTTAAGATGCATTGCCTGTTTGCATGCTTAAATTGCATTGCATTTCCATGTTGCATGTTGTTGCATTGTGTTTGGAATAGGTGTTAGTCCAAACACGAGAAACAAGGGACATTTCATACTTGAAGTGATGAAACGTGTCTCAATTCTCGGTCACCGACACTCTTGATCACACATGATAGAGTTCAAGGCTTTATGTGTTTATTTGTGTATTCATTTCAAATTGAATTGTGCAACTTCACTTCTCGGCTATCATGCATTGAAATGCGCGATTGGTGGCCCGAGGGTCAACAACCGCACTCCCTTGAGCTTATGAAATGATAGGGAGGGTGGTTGTGCACACGTATCTTGCAAATACATTGTCATGTCCTTTCTTGCTCTCTGTTGCAGTAAACTGGAGAAGTGCAGCAAAAACTGGCCGGCCAGCTAGAAAAACTAGCTGGCCGACCACTTTATCTGGTCTACAGCAAAGAAAAGTGGTCGACAAGTGGTCGACAAGTGGTCCCCCACATCAACAACTGGTCGGCCATCCTTCCACAGGTCCCCAAGATGAGTTAGAAGCTTTCTAGAGCTTGGTGCAAGGTTCTGAGGACAATTGCAAACAGAGGCAAGTTGGGGCATCGCGATGGATTTCCGAACGAAGCGACCGGGCATGCATACTCTTCTCCCTCTGAGGCTCCTGATTTACTGTTTTACTTAGCTAGTTTACGCTTTGGTTTAGTACTTAATTAGTTAATGCACTTAGCTATTCAATTTGTGTTGTAATAGCTTAATTAATTAACTTGTTAGTTAATTAGTTTTGTGATGTAATAATTAGTTTAATTAGCTTAGATTAGCTAGTTAGTTTCTTATTTGGACCCTCCGTCGAGAAGGCCAACTGTTGTAATAAGCGTGCGTGTGTGTGATGCATGTTTTCCAACCTCCATTTCTTTCTCCCTTTTAGTTAACCGCTTACGATGGTTAGTTTTAGAGCATATTTCGATTAGCATTCCTTATGCTTGAATGCATGCATTCATTCATCTGTCTTGCATGTACCGGGCTCGGCGTATCATACTAACTGCATTGTATTTCAATTCCAAGTTAAATATATGTATCGAGTTGCATTTCATATGCCATTCTAAAATAGCCGAGCCTATTTTAGCTGCATTTTTGCATGTGTTGCATTAGCCATCTTAACATGAACTAGGATCATGCATGATTTCTAACTAGTTCTTTGTTTTGGCTCGGAGTACACTGTGAGTGTTTACGCTTTAGCATACTGCATGTGTGTTAATGTTACCATAAAAGCATGCTTGCCATGAGGCTAACTGTTATTTGATATAACTGCCTGAATGCCTATGGGTGAAGGTTGGATTGCTTGAATTGGAACAATTCATTGAAATCCACGATTTAGCCTACTTGCGAGTAGCAACTTTAAACCGTTTTCAAACAAACATACAATGTTTTGTTCCAAGTTAGACGATCTAGTCTATACTTATATGTTGTGCGCATCACATAGTAATTTTAGGTTAATATCCGAAATAAGAACACATGTGTTTTCAAAAACAAAATATCATGTTAGTAAAGGCCGATCTTTGATCAGGCGAGAGGGGGTGCTTATTGCATGACCTTCCCCTCTCGTACCCAAGTTCCCGAGCCGAGGCAACTTTGGTGATGACGGACACGTGGCCTTAGGCATGAGTCAGGGTTTCCTAAATTTCCCAAAAATAAAATATTTAGATGGTGACTCTGTATCTGGCAAAGCAATCCATGTTTGGCACTTCTTTCTAAAAATCAATTTTCCAAAATGATTTGCTGGATTTGGACTCTTTGGTGATTTATCGGTCTCGCATTGCACTTTGTGAGATTAGATTCAGAACCGTGATACAAGTCTAAACTTGTAGTAGCCTAAAGAACAAAACAGATTTCGCGCCCTCGCAGCGCGAAGCCGGGGAGTTCTCGAGACACGTCTACACTGCCATTCCCTTCATCTCGTCGTCCCTCCGCAGACATCTATCTTTCCATACCTGGAGGTCGTCCTCGTTATAATACCCGCTCCGGTCCGATTTCTTCGGTACGCCACCCTCTTAGCCGACGTTCTTTCCTCTGTGATTCTTATCACGAGTCTCTTCGTTGCAGTTGTCTTCTTCGACGTCAAGGTCAATATGTTTCCCACTCTCAGTAGGGGTGCCGTCCCCAACCTTCTCTTTCTGTCCGTCGTTGGCCATCTATTCTCTTTTCGTTCCTACAGACAGCGCCAAATTATGTGTGTCAATTTTCGACCACACTACTAATCAAGCACTCAGCTGGAGAACACTGGCAGAATAGATTAAGCCCGAACGACCTGTCACAAAAAGAAGAGATTTCGACGGTGGTTCTTCCACTCGGGGGCACTCCGACGACCAAGTCAGTTATCTCTCAAATATAGTAAAAGTGCTTAACTCACTATTCAGAGCATAAAAAGCATACCTTAGACCCATGAAGGTGCCTCTCTTTTATAGCCAACACAAACCTAGTCCCAATATAAGCCTAACTTCAATAGATTTCGGATTATTGCTAATCTTGGACTCCCAGTAGGATTGTGATAAACTCTCTAAGAGTCTCATCCTTACCCAAACTAAAGTCTTCTCTCATTCTAGGACTCTTATCCCTTATCTGCTTATCTCGGATTCCGGTATTCTCGAAGATAACATCGGCCTAGCCGAGATCATCTCAGCATCATGACCAGCACACGTGGCACTCCGGCCGGCACTTCTGTGACACATCGGCCACATGTTGTCATTCAAAAATTATATCCCCACACATACATACCTATAAAATCGAAACAATACATACCTATACAAAATTGAAACAATACATACCTACAAACCAGCAGATCAATTCTTCAATTTATAACTCCAAATCGCACATAACAAATTCCAACAGATTTCAACTCAAAAGGCCTCAATTACGAGTCTGTCAAAATTGAGAAATCACTTTACCTATAATAGTGAACCAAGCCAAGAAATCCCTCAAGATCTTTCGCGAATTCGAATCTTCATCTACTTTCATAACTGACTTGTTTCTCTTCCTGGTAAATACCGTCAATGCTATTATATATACACTTGTTTGGATTAAAGGGCAAAAATATTTTTTTACCTATAAATATGACTTATTGGTTTAAAAATTTTTTACTAAAACCTAAGTTACTATTAAATATGTCGATTGAATTTTTAAATAATTAATCAAAAAATAAATATCAAAATAGGTGAACACCGTAGACTTTGAGAGTCTTTTCTCTCACTCTCTGAGGGTCGTGTTTAGAAGAACAGCGTCTATAAAGTTTCTCACCAAAATTACATTTTTTATTTTTTTGTTTTAATACAAAAAGAACCAACAAAGCCTTTTTCAATTTAAATTTTTGTTTTAATACAAAAAGAACCAACAAAGCCTTTTTCAATTTAAAAAAAAAATAATCTTCTCTCTCTTGGTCCGGCTGCTGCCTCCCAGCGCTGACTTGTCCTTTTTTTTTCTCTCTCTCTCGCAACTCTCTCCTATTTTCCCTCTGAATTTTCTCGGCCATTTTCCAGGAAAATCCGTGGAATTCTGCTGTAATTCGCTGCCTGTGAAATTTCTCAGCTCCTCTTTTGCTCTTGATCATCTGATATGGCAACCAATTTCTTATTCTCAGGGGACGATCATAATCTCTTTGATTGAGGTCAGCTATTGTTGACTCAATTGGTCTTTTTACTCTATTCTTGTTTAATTATTATTATTATTATAGCTTATTTTTCTTTTTTTATCTAGACCTTCAAATTTATGAAAACTGAAAAAAATAAAGCTAGTTTCTTCACTTCATTTCTTCGATTTTGTTGCTTCTCACTTGAACCCTAGTTTACTCGATGATTTTCTGTGAAGCTCCAATAAAATTTAGGAACCTTTTATAGTCTCAATCTTGAATTTTATTTTGTTCTTTTAAACAATCAAAATGTAAACATAATGGGTACTCCACAAAATTGAGCCTAATCCATTATCTTGCCTTCTCCTTTGGCATGCCAATGTTTAAGTCTAAAAGGCCAAAAAATCATTACAAAAAATCAAAAAGTCTATAATTTATATCAAAAAGTCAAGATTTCTTTTTCTCTCTACGTTTTACAAATTTTTCGTAAAAAATTAAAAAATCATTTCAAATATACTAGTTTTTTTTCTCGTATTTTAACCAAAAAGCTAAAAAAATTACTAAAATAGTCTGGGAACAAGGCTTAGTTGGGATTTTGATCAACCTTAATATGAAACATAACATTCAAAAGATTTCTTGGCAGCCCAATATTGGGACTGTTTGGTGCTGCTTGTAGTTTTTTTTTGTAGTTGGGGCATCGTAGTTTTTTTTTTTTTTTTTAATAATTATTTTGGGAGTCTCTGCGGGCAACGTTTGCTTATAGTTTGTTAGGAAAAATAGTTTAAATAAGTTTTAAAAAAAAAAGAAAAAAAAGAGATGATTATTTGGAAGTTGAGAGACGGGTAATTTTGGGTTTTGTTTTCTGATTGTAGCTTTCATCTTACAAGTAGCTGAACCAAACGATTGTGTATGGTTATAAGTTGTATTGACTTTATTGTCTGTTTTAGTGCAGACGGAATCAAGTGTAGGTGCTGATGACAGAGAAAATGGCTGGAAATGCAAGGCTTTGAGGAGTTGAATTGGGAAAATTTGGGCACATGGGACTACCAAATTTTGGTCTTTAGAATTCTTTTGCTGATAACAGGATGGTATTGGGTGTGATTGTTGATCCCGGACTTGGGCCAGCCGCAGAATTCCTTTCGCAGATCGTTCAGGCTATTATTGATATTGTAATTACTTCCAAGAATGTCTTCATTGAGAAAGAGAGTTTTGCGGAACTTGCAAATTACTTGGAACAGATTGTTCCTTTCCTAAAAGAGATGATGAGGAAGGACATCAGTAATTCTGATGGCTTAAACAATGTTATCACAATTCTTAATCATGAGGTCAAAGTTGCAAAGCAATTAATAGAGGAATGCAGTAAGAGAAACAAAGTGTATCTCTTAGTGAATTGTCGGTCAATTGCTAAGCGCATAGAGGACACTACAAAGGAAATTAGCAGGGCACTGAGTCTCCTTCCTTTGAGCTCATTGGATATTTCTGCAGGTATAATTGAAGAGATTAGTCAGCTAAGTGACCTCATGCAGACTGCAGAGTTCAAGACAGCTTTAGCAGAGGAAGAGATTCTGGAGAAAATAGAGTCGGGAATACAGGAGAGGAATGTTGATCGTTCATATGCCAATAACTTACTGTTTTCGATTGCACAGGCTGTTGGAATTTCAACTGAGCAGTCAGTGTTGAAGAAAGAATTTGAGGAATTCAAAATGGAAATAGAAAATGCACAACTGAGAAAGGACCAGGCAGAAGCTATACAAATGGATCAAATAATTGCTTTGCTGGAAAGAGCAGATGCTACCTCTTCTCCAAACGAGAAAGAAATCAAGTATTTTAACAAGCGGAATTCTTTGGGTACTCAACCATTGGAACCACTCCAGTCTTTTATTTGCCCAATCACTAGGGAAGTTATGGTGGATCCAGTGGAGACTTCTTCAGGGCACACATTTGAGAGAAGTTCCATTGAGAAGTGGTTTGCTGATGGGAATAATTTGTGTCCGTTGACCATGATACCTTTAGACACATCAATTTTGCGGCCTAACAAAACTTTACGGCAATCAATTGAAGAGTGGAAGGATAGAAATACCATGATCACCATTGCTTCCATGAAACCAAAACTCTTGGTGGGAGAGGATGAAGAAGTACTTCATTGCCTGGGACAGCTGCAGGATCTCTGTGAGGAAAGGGACATACACCGAGAATGGGTAATATTAGAGAATTATATACCCATCCTTATTGAACTTCTTGGTGCCAAAAGTCGAGACATAAGGAACCATGCACTTGTCATCCTCTGCATCCTGGCAAAAGATAGTGATTATGCTAAGGTACCCCTCGTTGTGATTCTAACTGTGTGCATGTGTGTTCGATTTGCGCATGCGTCTTTGTGTTTGTGTTTCTTTTCTTTTTTTCTAGCCTGAAGCCCTAAATACTAAGTACATTCAATCTCTTTGTGATATGACTTCCTGTGTATCTGCACAAGAATGAAATGCAGATAGCTATCTTGTATAGGCTTGTTAAAAGGTTGAGTTTAAATTAATTATTATAATTACAAATTTGATATTCAAATAAATATATGAATTGGATGCAAAGGATCCTTCTTATGAAAAAACATTTGTTAAATGGATCTTTTTAACTTAATTCAAATTGGATCTTATTAACAAGTGCCCCTTGTGTACAAGAAAAAGTCAAATGAAAAAAACAAGACACTTTTCAAAGCATTTTTCATTGATTTCAAAACTCTTTTTATAACCTTTTCATCATTTCCAAAGCACTTTTTACACAATTTCAATATTAAACAATGCCGTAGGGGCACTTTTTAGAATTTGCCATTCAAATTTATCCTTGCTGAAATAGAAATGGAAAATCTTGTTTCAACCTATGCTATATGGACTCTTTTAAATGTGTGAAGTACTCATGTCAGACACTCGACACTAGGTGTCCAATAGGAGTGATGGCACATTCATCCATCAAACATGTTTAATAATTCAAGTTTACCATATGCCTGTGCATAAAACTTCCATAATATGCACAAAATACTCTATGTTATGTTGTTAACACCATTTTGCCCTAGAAAACTAAAGAAGAATATTAAAAAATATTAATATTTTTCTGTATCCTCTTGTCCTCAACAAGATGAATTTGATGCTAAGACAACATATTTGTACTCGGCACCACTACCCGAGTCAGTTCAACTCACTGAAATAATCCCATTTTTCTTTAATTAGATATGCAGTAGTGACACATTCACCCAGCAGGCAGAAAGCATGTTTAGTAATTCGAGTTTACGATATTACTAAGCATATAACTCCCGTATGACCTGTTAAATGTTCTCTGTTACCTTGTAAGCACCATTTTGCCTTAAAAATTTAAGAAAATAGTACGAAATCCAAACATTTTTCATAGCCTTATGTTCTTTTGTATGATAATTAGATGAATCTGACGCTTAGACACATACTCGCACCTGATACCCATACCTAAGTCCATGAAACATCGAATTCAACTCACTCAAATAACCCAATTTTCTTGCAATAGATATGGATCGTCTTTAGCTGGAAAGGTTAGTTTATGTTCTTAGATTTGATTTTGTGAAATCGGAACATAATGCAGGAAAGAGTTGCAAACGTTGAGAATGCAATAGAATCTATTGTCCGCTCTCTTGGACGGCGTATTGCAGAAAGGAAGTTAGCAGTGGCATTACTGTTGGAACTGTCTAAAAGTGAGATAGTACAAGACTGCATTGGTAAGGTTCAGGGTTGCATCCTCCTTTTAGTGACTATGTCAAGCAGTGATGAGAGTCAAGCTGCCAAAGATGCAAGGGAGCTTCTGGAGAATCTCTCATTCTCTAATCAGAATGTTATCCAAATGGCGAAGGCAAATTATTTTAAACATTTGTTGCAGCATCTTTCTTCAGGTTCTTTCCTTAAATCAGACATTTTACCCTTCAGAAATATAATTATATTTCAGTATGTTATAATGGCATTCTACTAATTAAAACTTTACTTGGAATTTGTTGAATGCTAAAATTTCTGAAAACCTTAATGAAATAAACTTGCAGGTTGTTAACAAACTGATGTGTTCAAAAATGAGGAGTACAGCCTCAAGTGGACCCTGAATCTTTTTCTCTCTACTTTTGCTGGAAAATTAGATAATAATAATATGGCTGACAACCGCACCACAACAAACCTTTGTCCCGTATGAAGCACGGACACCTCCCCGAGGCCTACATACGTGTCCAACGCTCTCCCTTGCGTGTCCCCTTTTTTTTTTGGAATTTTTCCAGTCGGACACACGATGACACGTTTCAAACACGTGTGAGGTGGATCAAAGAAGCCCTAAACTTGTTGGGGAGAGAAAGAGAGAGAGAGAAAGATCGAGGGAAGAGATCGAAGAAACCCTAACTTGTTTCGCAACTTGGTCTTCTCTGTTCTTCTTCTTCTCTTCATCTTCTTCTCTGTCTTTTCTTCGTCGTCTGTCTTCTTCTTCTTCTCTTCGTTTTCTCCTCCTCCTCCTCCCTCTTTTGATTTCATTTCTCTCCCTTTCTGCCTCTCTCCCCCTTTCGTTTTTCTTTTCATTTTTTTCTTTTCCTTTTTTTTCTCTCTCCCCTCCCTTTTTTTTTTCTTCAGACATGATGATATTGAAGAAGAAGAAAAAATGGAATGAAAAAGAAGTATTTCTGGGCAAATACATTCTACAATTGGCAATGAAGGTCGAAGAATGAAAGGTTGAAGGAACATCGAAGTATGGCAATGCAAGCCACAGAAAGTTTTAGTTCCCAGAGAGCATAAGAGGCTCTGATACCATGATAAATGGGAATAATATATGTTAAAAAATATATGTATTATTATTGATTGATGTTCTACAAGATTGTTTAATTACAATTCCTATACAATCTATATATAGAAGAAAATGTGGTAGTAGGTGTAGTGGAGGTGATAGTGGGTTAGGTGAAGTGGAGTGTGTGGTGAAGTGGAGGTAGGTGAAGTGGAGTGTGTAGTGGAGTAGGTGAAGGTAAAGATGGGAAATTCTAACATAGTTTGTCCCAATTACTTGGATTTAGCTACATGCATCCATTTCCTCCAATTGATACTATTTGCAGTCATATCCTCAATCATGACAATCGTGTCCAAGTTCTCCTAGGCCTTAATTTCTTTTACCACCCTTCATTCAGATCAAATGATTCCTTATAGGGTTGTTAATTGGTCTATGAACCACATGACTACCATCTCAAATAGTTTTCCTCATCTTATGTTAATAGGTCTATGAACCACATACTTCTTCCAAATGGATCATTTTCTTAAATACACAGGTCCTCTATCTCAACATTCTCATTTCAGTTACATTCATTTTTTTAACATGTTTTTTCTTCACTGCTCAACATTCAATACCATATATGATAACATCTTATATAGCAATCCTATACAATTTCCCTTCAACTTAACAGAAATCTTACATTCACACAATGCTCCTAATGTACTTCTCTATTTCATCCCTCTCACCCTAATTCTATGGGTAATGACCTCCTAAGACGGGATCTTTCCCACGCATACAGAACAAGAAGCCAACTCCATCTCCTTTGGCAAGCTCAGAGGCACCCTACCCTCCACTGCCACCCTGTCTCTATCTAGGGATTTCCCTGGCTCTCTCCAGCTCCATCTAAGGTGCCACTTTGCTAGCTAAGTATCTTCCCAAGACTTCTTCACCGCAGCTACCACAACCTTGCACCTCCACATTATACTCCACTAAGAAAGAGTGATACTCACTCAGCATGGCACCTCCAAAAGGGTAGCTGTTATTGCAGCATCCTCTTGAAGACAAGATGTTGTTGTAGCCTCTCAATGACTTCCATCCTTTGATGCTTTGCCAGAGGAACTTTTCTCTGTAGTCAATAGGCTGGCCACCATGCATCATACCCAGCAACTCTTGGTAAAACTCTTCTAGCATGGCAAAGAGGTTTGGGGACCTCTTTGCCTTCCTCATTCCACAGCTACCCCTACCCTTACCCCAGCTGATTCTGGTAGGGGCGCTCACCCTTGGGATGGGTCTGAAAATGCTCACCCCAAGCAGAAGTTGTACCAAACACTTTGGTGCAGACTCCTAATATATATATATATAAAGAAGTTATAAGCAGCCCCTATAACCTGCACCAAACTGGGTCATTATTGGCTTTGGCAACAAAAGTCACAGAGCCCTTGGGCATGTTTGGTAGATCTGACCATGGGCCATTGATGCGAATGTGACCTAACACACACTCTTGGGATGAACCTGGTTCCACCAATATGTTGTTATCCCTACCACTTAACAATAATGTGTTAAAAGGATACAAAACAACAAAGTGATTACCATCGTTGGCTCATAGAAGCCCTTTTGAGCCAACAGATCACATATGGCGGAAAGCATGTTATGGTGGGAGAAAATTATAGGATTATTTTTTCTCTATTCTTCTTGGGGTTTTGCTTGTGGGGACAATATTCAATTTAGAGAGTTTGGGTTCTTGATTTTGTTCTGTTGGGTTTGGATAGTTGATTCCAATATTGTCTTTGCCCACAGATGTAATTCCAATTGGTGTGTAACTACATCAAGTATTTGTGTTTTGTATTTGTGTTTTGTATTTGTTCTTTCTATCTTCTTCTTCTTCTTAAGATTTTTTTTTTTTTTTTTTTTTTTTCTCACAACAGCAATGCATCTTAGAGTTAGTTGTCCTTGGAGATTATTATTTACATCAATGAATTTCCAATCATATGTTCTCAGCATTGACCCAATCTCTACAATGCAATAGCATATATCACGTGGCCAAACATCTAACACGTGTATGAGCTGATTGATTGATTAAGTGAAAGTCATATACATGCTCATGGTATATTCTTATGCATTCATATAAAGCTGCACATGTAGTCTTAACATGAGACCTAAGGCATCTGTTTTTGCAGGACCAGAAGACGTGAAGCTAATCATGGCAAGAACTTTGGCAGAGATGGAGTTGACTGACCATAATAAATCATCTCTGCTTGAAGACGGCGTATTGGGTTCACTTCTTCAATTGGTCTCACATGGTGATACTGAGATGAAGCAAGTGGCTGTTAAAGCTCTTCAGAATCTCTCAACCTTACCAAAAAATGGGCTGCAGATGATAAGAGAAGGTGCTGTTGGCCCATTACTTGACCTTTTGTGCCATCACACATCACCACAAACTTTGCGTGAACAGGTAGCAGCCACAGTTATGAATCTTGCCATATCAACTGCGTCTCAAGATTTGAGTGAGACACAGGTGTCATTGTTGGAATCTGATGAAGATATCTGCAGACTATTCTCAGTTATTAGCTTGACGCGTCCTACTGTACAGCAAAGTATTCTTCGGGCGTTTCATGCAATGTGCCAATCTCCCTCTGCTACTACTATCAAGGCCCAGTTAACACAGGTACACATCTTTCTGCAGAAGAATGTTTTCCCCCTTTTAGAAAAGATGACGTCATTTGGGTTAATCAGGAAGGAAACAACTATGAATGTGCATGAGTAACACTCCGTTTGGATGTGGTCTAAGTGGGGCTTAATACAATAGGGTTTGGGGACTGAAACTGAGATCTGGGCTTGAGCCATGAATTAAATACTCAAAACCCTTCAAAAATGGCCAAATGGTAGAATAAAGGATGTGGGTTAAGTGGGGCTTAATAGAATAGGGTTTTTGGACTAAATTAGAGTTTGTTTAGTGGCTCAAGCAGTGCTAAATGAACAATAATTACACAAGCACTTTGACCAATATCTCAAAATAAGAAACTTTGACACTAGACCACACAAGACTACAAACTAACAAGAATCACATATTATTGACCCAATGACCTAATCTAACATGAAATGAGATCCATGGAGACATACGACAGCCCATTTCTTGAAATTTTTAAAATTCTGATGTGCTTTAACTCTTGAAACATAAGAAAACATGAATAGAATAAACCAACAGAAAACTAGATTTGAATAAACATAAATTACAACTCTAAACATTGCTATAGAAACTTTTCATAAGACTGAAAATGCTCATGATATGGTCAGCCTTTCTTAGATGTGGCATCATGTGGATTTCGTGGGAAACTGGATGAGAAATGAGTATGCAACTGAAATGCAAAGGCATATTCAGAAGCATGGCAAAAACCTTATCAAATCCTTTCAGAAAAAGTATATACAGATTCAACTTTATTTATCAAAACAAGATATATATACAGATTCAACTTTAGGAAGCATGTAAATGAAGATTTTTGTTTTTAATGACTGAAAAATAAAATCTACTAGAGGCCTGATCTTTTCATTGTGTTAGGAACAACAGGTTAAACATAAAATTTTGTCACGTGACATTTGAGCTGGGTAATAGTGCCTAGATGTCTTTAAGGGTGTTGTGTTGACATTTTGATAAATCAGAAGAGAAATTTTACAAAATATGGGTTTTCTTTAAAGAAGAAACATTTCAAAACTCAAAAGTAGTGTAGCAAACATGAGGATGTCAACATGCTCTCTAAGCAAAGGACTAAATTGATATGACCATTTAAGGTAAAATTCAGCCCAAAAAAAGAATATATCAAGAACTGGCTCATCTAGTTAGGTATTATGCTTCTGAGACATGTGACCTGTCAGTATTTTTACAGTGAAAATGATAGAAACCCTAAATCCAAGAAAATAGCTATAGGTCTAATCTCCATTTATGGAAGAAGCTACTGTTTAAAGCATTTTCATCTCATTTTAGCATACTTGCTCTTTCTTTGCCCTTTAGCCTGCCAATGTCTGTCACGTGAAAAGGCCAGCAAGACGGCAGCTATTGGTTCTGTTTTGATTTCCTGATATTAAGATTCCGTGAAGATATGAAATCTAAAGCATGACCTGTTTTGTACTTTCTTGATCAGCATTTACTGGTTTCAGTTATGGTTTCACTGTCCCATCCATCCCCGATATGATTATATTACCAACCCTATCAGTGCATTCTCCATATTCTCAGTGGGATATAATCATTGTGTCAAAGTATTAAGTCGTATCTCTTTGATTGCTTTTGCAGTGCTCAGCTGTGCAAGTACTGGTTCCGTTATGTGATCTTGATGGTAATATAAGGGCTAATGCTGTGAAGCTACTCTGCTGCTTGACAGAAGATGTTGATGAAGCGACCATCTTGGAACACATGACTCAGAAATCAATTGACACCTTGCTCAGGATCATCAAAACTTCTAGTGATGAGGAAGAAATCGCTTCTGCAATGGGTGTCATCTCCAACCTCCCCAAACGCCCCCAGATCACTGAGTGGCTATTGGGTGCCGAGGGTCTTCCTTTAATTTTGAGGTTTCTTCAAGCTAGTAAGAGTAAGGGTTCCCATAAAAATCAGTTGATAGAAAATGCTGTCGGAGCCATATGCCATTTTAGCAATCCAACAAATCAGCAATCACAAAAGCAAGCAGCTGAAATTGGTCTGATTCCCGCGTTGGTACAGTGGCTGGAGTTAGGTACCACGTTGACAAAAAAACAAGCAGCTTTGTCTCTCGCTCAGTTTTCCGTGAGTTCCCTTGCACTGAGTCGGCCTTTTCCAAAGCGCCATGGATTCTGGTGCTTCTCACCTCCGCCAGAAGCCGTGTGCCCAGTTCATCGAGGAATCTGTACCATAGAGTCATCGTTTTGCCTCGTGGAAGCTGGCGCTGTGGAACCTCTTGTGAGGGTTCTTGGCGAAACCAATCTTGATGTCTGTGAAGCTGCTTTAGATGCACTATTGACTTTGATTGAAGGTGAAAGATTGCAAAGTGGTAGTAAGGTGCTAGCCGAAGCAAAAGCCATACCGTCAATAATAAGACTACTTAGTGTTTCGTCCCCTGGATTGCAAGAGAAAGTTCTGAGGTCTTTAGAGAGAATTTTTCGACAGGTGGAGTTCAAACAGAAGTACGGAGCCTCAGCTCAGATGCCTCTAGTTGACTTGACTCAACGAGGGAATAGTAGTACAAAGTCATTGGCAGCCAAAATTCTTGCTCACTTGAACGTTCTTCACGACCAGTCCTCTTATTTCTGATGGAAGATAATGGTTTGACGCTTATTTTTTAACAAAATTTAAACAGTTTGATAAAATCCCACTGATTCTTCTATTTTCAAGTCATGGTTCTGTGTGGGAGGAATGTACCATTGTGTCAAGGACAAAACATGTCTTTCTTGTAAGACTGCTCAGCTGCAATGGCATAGAGGCCTGAGTGACCTGAACTAAAGAAAACCGAGTTGTTGAGAGATCTTTCATGGAAACTATGCAGCACAGGATAGATGATGTTGGGTTGATAGAAGCTCTCGATATGTTTGTCTGTGGAAGGAGATGATTAATCGGGGAAAGACCACCATTGATCGACTATTTAGCTGAGCTCTGAGGTTCATGTGAATTTAAGTTTGAATTCTTTACCCTCACTGATCATTTTGATTCAGTTGTATATGTAATTCATTCGGTAGTTTAAATTGAAGTCCATAAATTCTTCTGTATTATGAACAAAATTCTATAGTAGAAACGTGGTTTATACTGTAGATAGAGAGAGAGAGAGAGAGAGAGAGAGAGAGAGAGAGAGAGAGAGAGAGAGATTAAAGTAGTGATAATTTTATTTTTTTTCCAATTATGATTCTTTCAGGGCTGTTAATTGGAAATGAGTAGGTATCTGAACTGTTGCAATACAAGCATGTTGATTGATATTCGAGGAATCTGGTGTCAAGAAGTGACTTAGAAAATATGAGGAAGAAGAATTCCGAAAATATGAGGAAGACGGAATATATTTCTGTTATATTCAAAACTTTTTATCTTACAAGACCAAATGACACTCCTTATATAGGAGATATTACAAACATCATTATAACCCATTATATGCCACTTACATATTATATATTACCATTATCTACCACTATCATATTCTATACATGCCACCAACACTACTATCATATTATATACATGTCACCAACACCACTATCATATGCCACTATCTTATTATCTACCACTATCATATTCTATACATGCCACCAACACCACTATCATATTATATACATTAACACAAATTTCCAGCATTCCCCCTCAAGCTGGTTTGAAGATATCTTCCATATCCAGCTTGCTAGTCAGCTTATCAAATTGCTTCTTGTGTAGTCTCTTCGTTAGCACATCAGCTAATTGTTCACCTGTTGGAAGGTAGGTCATACAGATTATACCAGCATTGATTTTCTTCTTGATGAAATGTTTATCCACTTCTATATGTTTTGTGCGATCATGTAGAGTTGGATTATGAGCTATAGATATAGCTGCTTTGTTGTCACAATAGACCTTCATAGGTGTCGGGTGAGAAAGCTTTAATTCTTCAAGAATTCTTTTAATCCACATTACTTCACAGATTCCATGGGCAACAGCTCTGAACTCTGCTTTTGCACTATTTCTAGCTACCACATTCTGTTTTTTACTCCGCCATGTAACTAGGTTCCCACCTACAAAGGAGCAGTATCCGGATGTTGATCTCCTGTCTGTAACACTTCCTGCCCAGTCTGCATCTGTGTATACTTCAACTTGAAGATGTCCATGTTTCTTGAACAGTAAGCCTCTCCATGGAGTTCCTTTCAAATATCTTAAGATCTTATAAACGGCCTCAAAGTGCTCTGCCCCTGGTGAGTGCATGAACTGACTTACCATGCTGATTATCTCTTGCAGTAAATTCAGATTGGCCTCTACATCAACTTGACATTAAAAATGCATGTCTCAATGGTGATCTTGAAGAGGAGGTGCTCATGAGCCTACCGCCGGGATTTGAGCAGAGACTTGGAAGCGACAGAGTATGCAAATTGAACAAGTCATTATACGGACTCAAACAATCACCAAGAGCATGGTTTGAACGCTTTGGGAAGGCAGTTATCAGTTGTGGCTTCTCGCAGAGGCAAGCAGATCACACAATATTTTATAAACATTCAAAAAAAAGTAAAATTACAATTTTGATTGTTTATGTTGATGACATCATTTTAACTGGTAATGATGAAGCAGAGTTAGCAGCCCTCAAAGAGAAACTCGCAAAAGAATTTCACATTAAGGATCTGGGAGCCCTCAAGTATTTCCTCGGAATGGAATTTGCAAGATCCAAGGAAGGAATATTCGTTAATCAGAGAAAATATGTTCTTGATCTCCTTGGAGAAACAGGTATGCTTGGCTGTAAGATGGCGGAGACTCCGATCGAGCCTAACTTGAAGTTACAAGCTGCTAAGGCTGAAGAAGTCAAAGAGAGGGAACAATATCAGCGACTTGTCGGGAAATTGATTTACTTGTCTCATACGCGGCCTGATATTGCCTTTGCAGTCAGCATGGTAAGTCAGTTCATGCACTCACCAGGGGCAGAGCACTTTGAGGCCGTTTATAAGATCTTAAGATATTTGAAAGGAACTCCAGGGAGAGGCTTACTGTTCAAGAAACATGGACATCTTCAAGTTGAAGTATACACAGATGCAGACTGGGCAGGAAGTGTTACAGACAGGAGATCAACATCCGGATACTGCTCCTTTGTAGGTGGGAACCTAGTTACATGGCGGAGTAAAAAACAGAATGTGGTAGCTAGAAGTAGTGCAGAAGCAGAGTTCAGAGCTGTTACCCATGGAATCTGTGAAGTAATGTGGATTAAAAGAATTCTTGAAGAATTAAAACTTTCTCACCCGACACCTATGAAGGTCTATTGTGACAACAAAGCAGCTATATCTATAGCTCATAATCCAGTTCTACATGATCGCACAAAACATATAGAAGTGGATAAACATTTCATCAAGGAGAAAATCAATGCTGGCATAATCTGTATGACCTACCTTCCAACAGGTGAACAATTAGCTGATGTGCTAACGAAGGGACTACACAAGAAGCAATTTGATAAGCTGACTAGCAAGCTGGCTATGGAAGATATCTTCAAACCAGCTTGAGGGGGAGTGCTGGAAATTTGTGTTAATACATATAATATGATAGTGGTGTTGGTGGTAGATAGTGGCATGTATAGAATACGATAGTGGTGTTGGTGGTAGATAGTGGCATGTATAGAATATGATAGTGGTAGAAATATTTCACAACTACAAGTTTGAAACATTGATCAAGAGGATTGTTGCATTCAATGTATAGGCACGAATCATCTCAAGTAGCATGAGGCGTTTGCTCTAAACTATGGTAGCAACACGACACGTCTCTCGTAGCATGATTCGTCTCGTACTTTGAATACAAACACAAAGAAAACTAATGTATGGAAAGCATTAAATAATCACAGAGAGTAAAATGCTTGAAGAGATGAAAGAAACAATTATTAAAAACTTCTAAATCATCTATACATCCATTCAAACCAATTCACAATTAAAGCTTATGAAAAATTCTATTACATGGCTAGGGTTTCATCAAACCCTAGAAAAGATGACTAGCCACTTATGGAGGAGTGGGAAGAGGAAGAAGATGAGGAAGAATCCCCCATGGAAGTGTCCTTCAAGCTTTAAGAGAAAATTCTCTCTTTAGAACCCTAGCCTCCCTTTTCTCTGAATTAATTTTCGAACCCTAGGTTTGGCTATTTTTATTTCTTTTATTCTCAGCAAAACAAATTAAAAATTCTGTGCACGTGTCCCTAGATGGGCCGCTTGAGCGCCCATGTGGGCTGCACGAGCGGTAGTGGGCCGTACGTGCAGTGAAGCTTGGCCACACGTGCGGTGGTCTGGCTGGCTCGGATTCTTCACTTCTCACACGGAGGATCTGCTTTCGCGCCTTTTTTGATTGAATTTGCGTGTTGCTTGCCAAATCTGTACAAATGCACAAAAAACATCATCTCCACCAAATAAACAAATATTGAAATGTAACTTAAGTGGCCTCCATGTGGTTCGGCCTACATCACAATCCCCTAACTTACATTTTGCTATTCCTCGAGCAAAACAAAAGAAATAAGAAAAGTAAAATAGCTTTAGGCCATTTTCGTAGGAATCACGATTGCATTTAGCATATGCAACAAGCCTTTCAACCACAAGTTTACCCCACGTGAGGGCTTCCAGAAATGATACCCACAAACATCAACACTTAGAAAATATGAAGAAGAAGAACTTCGAAAATATGAGGAAGAAGGAATATATTTCTGTTATATTCAAAACTTCTTATTTTACAAGACCAAATGACACTCCTTATATAGGAGATATTACAAACATCATTATAACCCATTATATGCCACTTACATATTATATATTACCACTATCTACCACTATCATATTCTATACATGCCACCAACACCACTATCATATTATATACATGCCACTAACACCACTATCGTATGCCACTATCTTATTATCTACCACTATCATATTCTATACATGCCACCAACACCACTATCATATTATATACATTAACACAAATTTCCAACAAAGTGCTATTCTTGAAACAATTGGTAATTTTTTTTTTTTTTCTTTCTTAAAAACTCGGGATCTAGCTAGCCTATTGGATCGACTATGGAATGAAAGAGCTAGTCTGATAGCCTCGGAATGGAGATGGGTATATTACATCCTTTTTTTGTCTTGACTAAGGTCTCGTTTGGCAACAGGTTGGTTTAGTTAAAAAGTCAAAAAGTTATTAAAAAAATCAAAAAGCTAATAATTCATACTAAAAAGTTAAAGATTTTATTTTTTCTCTATTTTTTGCACATCTTTTTGTAAAAGTCATCTCAAACATATTAATTTTTTTTAGTTCATATTTTAGCTAAATAGTTAAAAAGTTACTAAATTAGCTTGTTTCCAACGAGGTCTAAATAAGATTGATTAAAAAGTCAGATTTCCTTGCTATGGTATTTGTCAACATGCTATTGGTGTAATGAGTAACTTCACTTACATACATCATATTATGATTGCACATCAATATTATGAGTCCATCATTTTTTTGGTCCCGACTCATTACGCGTTTGGTAAGATGATCTAAGTGATTTTTTTTTCTTAAATTACAAATTTGAAAAATTGTTACCAAATTTTTGGAAACAATTTTTATTTTCAAAAATTTTAAAACAAAAACCAAACCATACATATATTAGGAGATCCCAGCCCAAGCCGAGTTCTACCAAGTATTTTAAAATTTCAACACAACAACGTTACAAATTCATCCTACACAATTTTAGGAACCAAAAAATCCAATCTTTATAGGTAAGCTATTAAGTGTGGAGATTCAAATTGTTATGAACCAATTGAAGCAAATCCATGCCCACACTCTCAGAAACGGCATAGACTTCACCAAATTCCTCATTGTGAAACTCCTTGAAATCCCAAACATCCCATATGCCCACAACCTGTTCGACTTTATTCCTAAACCAACTCTCTTTATCTACAACAAGCTCATTCAAGCCTACTCTTCTTATGGCCCTTACCATCAATCTTTGTCTCTCTACTCCCAAATGTGCCATCAGGGCTTCTCACCAAACCAGACCTCCTTCACTTTCCTCTTTGCCGCCTGCGCTTCCCTCTCTTCCCTGCGTCACGGCCAAACGCTCCACTCCCGCTTCCTCAAATCAGGTTTTGAATTCGACATCTTCGCGTTGACAGCATTGGTTGACATGTATGCTAAATTGGGTATGTTAGCATTGGCTCGGAAACAATTTAATGAAATGAGAAAGAGAGATGTGCCCACTTGGAATTCTATGATTGCTGGCTATGCAAGGTTTGGAGATATGGAGGGAGCGTTAGAATTGTTCATGGCAATGCCTGAGAGGAACGTGATATCGTGGACAGCAATGATATCTGGGTATTCACAGAATGGGCAGTACGCTAAGGCCCTAGATATGTTTTTGGAAATGGAAAAAGGGAAAGGAGTAAGGCCGAATGAGGTGACTATAGCTAGTGTTCTTCCCGCCTGCGCAAGTCTTGGGGCGTTGGAGATTGGGGAGAGGATTGAAGATTATGCAAGGGAAAAAGGGTACTTAAACAATTTGTTTGTATGCAATGCTATCTTGGAAATGTACTCCAGGTGTGGTAGAATCGATATGGCAAAGCGGGTGTTTGATGAAATCGGTTGCAAGAGAAACGCTTGCTCTTGGAATTCAATGATCATGGGCTTGGCTGTCCATGGACAATGCAATGCAGCTCTTCAACTCTTCCAAGAAATGCTGGTAAATTGTTATCCTATCAATATTGATTTGTTGTGTAGATTGTACGTTCTTGGATGCTTGCTAACATGTTTGTCTTCGTTATGTGATTGCTAATGGCAGAGAGGAGGAACTGCACCTGATGATGTCACATTTGTGGGAGTTCTATTGGCGTGCACTCATGGAGGCATGGTTGAAAAAGGACGACAACTTTTCCAATCAATGGAACGGGAATTCTCAATCTCCCCCAAACTAGAACACTATGGATGCATGGTTGATCTTCTAGGTCGTTCAGGAGAATTGCATGAAGCGTTTGATCTTATACGAAGTATGCCCATGAAGCCCGATTCTGTTGTATGGGGAACTTTGCTAGGGGCGTGCAGTTTTCATCGCAATGTTGAGCTGGCTGAGAAAGCAGTGGAATCACTCTTTGAGCTTGAGCCATGGAATCCAGGAAACTATGTGATTCTTTCCAATATTTACGCATCAGCTGGACGATGGGATGGAGTTGCGAGACTGAGGAAGCTAATGAAATTTGGCCGGATAACGAAGGTGGCAGGGTATAGTTTCATTGAATTGGGAGGACAAATTCATAAGTTCATCGTAGAGGATAGATCACATCCACAATCTGTTGAGATATATGAGCTTTTAGATGAAGTTTCAACTAGATTGAAGTTTATTGGAAATACAACTGATTTTGATTCTATGATTGAAGAATCATGCATAATGGAGCAAGTCTGCTAATTTTCTGTGTCAGCAAATTTTGTGAAGTCCACATTCATCAAACAGTACCTATCTATTGCCAACTCTTGCTAGGTGTAGGAATTCAATGAATTTGATAGTAGGATGGATGTTTATTAAACATGATTGGTAACATTTATGTATACAATTTTTAGTTTGTGTTACAAAAATTTAAAATCTTAAACAAAAACTTGTTTAGTGCTTATTTTCGTTTTTTGAAAAATTATAAATTGTGTACAAATTTACTAAATTTTTGTAACAAAAAAAAGTTTGTTTCATTTGTTTAAAAACCACTCCAACCACACCCATGGCCCGTCACCACCTCCACCAGCCACTGTCATCAGCGACCTCCAATCACCACCTTCCGCAATTGACAACCACTTTAGTTGTTGGTGACCACCTCCAACCATCACTTCTCACCACCTACACCGTCAACCAATTCCTTCCCGCTGAAAACCACCTATGGCCACCACCTCCAAACAGCCAACCACCACCTTCGGCCACATCTTCGGTCATCAGCAACCACCTCCAGCCACTCCCCTCACTTACTTTTAAAACGCATGTGTACCAACTATGTTTTTTTTTTTTTTTTTTTTTTTTTAAATAAACATAAACATGTTTAGCATTTTCTACAAAAAATTAAAAAATAAATAAACAAAAAGTGTATACTAAATGTTACCAAAAGGAGCCTAAGTATTTGCAATAAGATTAGAACCCATTCCATGAAGTGAGTTTAGAGAGAAAATAACAGAACCTGGTAAAGTAGCCACTGCTGAGGTACACAGTTGAACAATATTTTTAAATTCCCATTTTCGTTTAAGCTTATCTTTGTGAACGAGTTACCTTAAAAAAATCTTTGTGAACGAATTGGCATATCTTTCTGATATGGAACATGGTATTGTTAAATAGAAAAAACAAACACTATCTAATAATATTCTTAATACATCCATGACATTGTTGGCTCTAATCCCTCTCCTCCAGTGTGAAACTTGCTTTTATGCCAAAATGTAAACCGAATGACATTTTATGCCTTCTTCACCTTGGTTCTCCATCTCCTCCTCCTCCTCCCCACAAATTTGAGCAATTCATCGATCAAAATCACAGGTGCCGAAACCAAGATAACCAGAAACCATTCATTCAGAGTCAGTGGAACGATACCAAACACATCGGCTAGGAAAGGTACATAAAGTATTAGGCAATGGAGCCCAAACGAGACTGACATGGCGACAAGAAGCCAAGGGTTCCTCCAAGGTGGCATTGTGACTAAGCTGTTGTCTTCAGAAAGGGCATTTAGGGAATTGAACATCTCAATGGCCACCAAGACAGAAAGTGAGAGAGTCATCGCTTTCACTTTACCAATGGTAAAATAGTCACAAGGGTTTGAAAAGGTGATCACACGGCCACCACCAACCATGAATGGAGTCACGGTGAAATTTGACCATGATGAGCATTCTCCCCAGTTCCGAAGCTCAGAAAATTCAACGAGTGAGTGACCGTCACTTACAAGATTTATACCCAAAACCGAAGCCTGAGTGTACCACAAGATGAAGATGCCAACCGTTGCAATGCCCACATAAGAACCTATTACCTGCAATGCCACGCACTCAAGGTACTGAGAGTCTGATACAATGAATATTACATGAAAACTTGTTCACTCAACATGTAATGCACAATCCTAATGCAAAAGAATAGTGATTTAATGAGTAAAGTGACAAAGTTTGTTGCAAAGTTGATATCCAATGAAGTATTTTACTGAGGAAATCATCTTTAACTATAAAATAATACATTATGTTTTACTCTAGAAAACAATACCTTCTGAAAATTTCTGCATGTTATCAAATCTAGTCCTAGGTATATCACAAGAAAATAAACAATCTACAATGAAATACTCATCTTAACTTTCTAAATGATATAGCAATAGGAAAAAAGCTTACGTACAGTTCCGTCCATGTAAGAGGTGCAAGTGACCAATTGGAGTAAACTATGTGGTCATCTTGCCCAATCGATTATTAGACTAACTTATTATGTGTCGCACACAAGTATAGACTAATTTGCAAAAATTGGAATACTTTGATTTCATGTTTGTCTGAAAAGAGGTTTTGAATATGTACCACTTAAAAAAGTGATCTCATATGTACATTACTCAAATCATCCCAATTTAAGTAATTAGCCTTCATCCACAGGCATTCAGGGTCCCACAACAATGTAGGGTTTTAAAATTTTCCTAATTGGGCAACATTACTCCTATTGTGGTCACTAGTACCACCTGCATGCATGAAGCTTACCTAATTTTTTTTCCATGGCAATAATAATACCTTGCAAGACCATCAATACTCTTGACAATGAAAACAGTAACTCATCTTTAGCAAGTTAAAAGATGAGAAACTAAAAATGTGTGCCAGCACAATAACCTTTGACATATAAAATCAAAATAAAAAATAATCACTGTGTTTGGTTTGAGCTTTCTGGATTAAGTTTTTTGAAAACTGAATTTTTTGATTTTCGTGTTTTTTTGTTTTTAGTGAATATTTTTAAAATTTTAAACATTTTTTTTTACTTTTTTAGATGCACCTTACTTAGATGTGTTTAAAAAGTAAAAAAATTGTGAAAAAATATTTTAAAAAATTAAGAAATACATAAAAATATGTACTGAATTCTTGTATTTTTTTTTTTGTATTTTTGGTATTTAGTGAATTTTTAAAAGATTTTTTTTACAATTTTTTTACTTTTTAGGTGTATTTATGTTAGGTGTGTCTAAAAAGTAAAAAATTTGCATAAAATATTAAAAAAATTCAGTAAAAACAAAAAAACACGAAAAATAAGAGTGTAGAATTTTCTGAAAACTGTTTTTAAAAAATGGGAACCAAGCAAAGTAATAGTAATGAACACTAACCATGTACCGGAACAGAATCCAAGAGTTAATGAGCACATCATCACTTTTGCGTGGTGGTTTCCGCATTATATCTATGTCAGCAGGGTTGAATCCCAGAGCTGTGGCAGGTGGGCCATCAGTAACCAAATTGACCCAAAGAAGCTGCACCGGTATCATACATTCTGGAATTCCTAAAGCAGCAGTCAAGAATATGGATATAACCTCCCCAACATTAGACGATATCATGTACCTGCAGATAAAGAAAAATGATTAAGCTTTGATGTTAACTACTCAAAACAAAAATGAGAGCTCACAAAGCGAAAATATACCTGATAAAAGCTTTCATGTTATTATAAATAGAGCGACCCTCTGCCACAGCAGAGACAATGGTGTTAAAATTATCATCTGCCAAAACCATATCTGAAGCTTCTTTTGCAACCTGGATGATTCACATAAGAATGACATATTCAACAATGTCAACCATCCAATGGACAATGTAATATGCTTACTAAGCCACATAATTTATTTTGGACTCAGGTAAGAGTATCAAGTGAGAGTGTATTTCTAGCTATCAGCCCTTGCTAAACCTAAGTTAAGATATGGGGGACATGTATCCACAAGTTGAGTATGTGCGCGTAGACATGTTATAAACATTTAAATATATTGTATATCTATCATAATTTGTTATAAGATGATGTTATAATTTATTTATACTAGAAATTAAATGGGATTTAGGGAAACAATAAAGATTTTTATCCCCATCCACGTGAGAGGATGAAAATTTTTCTTTCCTATCAAACATAAGCTGTTGTTTCTTCAATCAAAGAGAGTCGGTATTACCTCTGTGCCAGTGATCCCCATGGCAATTCCAATATCAGCAAGTTTCAGTGCAGGTGCATCATTCACACCATCACCAGTCATTGCAACAATTTCTCCCATCTCCTTTAGCATCCTTACAATTTCTTGCTTGTGCCTAGGCTCCGCACGTGAGAACACTTTCCCTCCAGGTTTTGACAAAATTTCAATTTGCTCAGAAGAGGAAAGAGCCATGAATTCTTTACCCGTGAAGCTTCTCCCCCTAAGATCATCACTTTTACAAAACAATCGAACTTCTTTACAAATAGCCTCTGCAGTCAACTTATTATCGCCAGTTATCACCATGACTTTAATCCCAGCTCCTCTACAATCATCAATTGCTTTGTGAACTTCATCACGAGGAGGATCCTGTTCAACTCAGCCGTTTATTACAAGTTTCCAAAGTAACTGATTAATGTCAACAATGAAAACTGCTAGCCTGTGTACTCACCCTCAGACCGACAACCCCCACAAAAACTAGGTCACTTTCAACGGAGGAGTAGGAAGCTGGATCGAGTAACTTCTTGTGAGCGGGATGAGTGTCATTATGATAGTCTGAAAATTCTCCCAAATCGTCCTTGTATGCCATTCCCAAGCACCGCAATCCTTTTGAACTCATCTCCAAATGTCTCAACAATAGTAGTTGCCTACAAGGTTCATCAATTGGGACAAGTGATCCATCTGCAAGTTGAATGTGAGAACTGCGCTCCAATAGACTCTCAACAGCACCCTGCATATCACATGTTAATAGAAGTGCAGATCATGAGAACTCCATTCTAAGATTTGAAAGTTCATTCTGTAAATTTAAATAATAATAAAAAAATCAACTCTATGAAGTCTCGATATTAAAATGGCAATTCAAACAGGTATGGCTATAAATAGAGTCAATGGGAGAAAACAAAACCATGTAACTGACCCCTAGTAATTGCAATTAAAGTTTGTTGATTGAGTGCCAATTGAATAAATAAAGTTTCCAAATAATGCTACAGAAGGAAAAGAAAGATCTAGACATCCCAATAATCTTTTATTGGACAATTACGCTTCGTTTGGTTTGGGGGATGAAAAATTTAGAGAGGAAGGTAGGAGGACAGAAAAGGTTACCCTAGGAAAAGAAAACTGAATTCCCCACATCTGTTGGTTGAGTCAGTGACTACAAGGAAGAGAGGAAAGGAGTGTTTCTTTTTCCCGCAATAGCCTTACATACAAACAAAAAGGTGATGTTTGAAATACAATACATGATGGAAAAGGATCCTCTTTTTCCCTCCTCCATCCAATCCCTTTTGTTTGGAAGGGAAACAATGTGGCCAGATAAAACTCCCTCCCTCCTCTTTTATCTTCCTTTCTAGAAACCCAAATGCTCTCTCTATTCCCTCCAAATAAATGAAGCATTACACAGCAAAAAAAGTAATTCCATGTGCTAAAAAAAACAAGTAAACAGAACTAACAGTTACCTTGACAAGTAGTCGATTGCGTCCAGTTGGTTCCCGGACAATAACACTCATTGACTTGCGAATGCGATCAAACTCTAATGTGGCAAGCCTCTTCGATCTTTTCGTCCACCATTCACAACAACCTATATTAAACATAAATAAATAAATGCCAACAATCACAACATACCCAGAAACAGCATAAAGATCAGTCTTGTGCTCACCCAATTTAACAGTGTTGGAGTCAATCAAATAGTTCGCAGCAAGCTGTGTGTCACGGATCTTGTTCCTAGCCTTGTTATCTGGAACTCCCATCTTCTCAACCAGAACCTTAAGAGCTGCTTCAGTGGGCAAACCTGTCGCTCGAAAGAGATGGCCATTGCAAAATATACCAGCGTCATTGCAGAGAGCACATATTTCTGCCATGGCTTGCAAGTTAGCATCCATATTGTAGCAATTCCAATCAACAATCGCCCCATCTTTAGGATCATAAGTTGTGCCTTCAACACGAAAAATTCGAGATGATGTTGTCTTTCCGCCTAAAGTGAAAAATTCCATCACGGACATCTGATTTGTTGTCAGAGTCCCAGTTTTATCAGAACAAATCACAGTTGTACATCCTAAGGTCTCCACGCTAGGAAGCTTCCGTACAATCGCATTCTTCTGTGCCATTTTCCTTGTACCCAGAGCCAAACAAGTTGTGATTACAGCTGGCAAGCCTTCTGGGATGGCAGCAACTGCCAGAGCAACAGCTATCTTAAAATAATATGTGCACTTCTCGAAAGAAAATCGAAAGTTTGTAGGCCATCCATTCACAAGATCCCAAGTAAGGAAATATTTATAGTTAATAACCCACACAATGAGGCAAACAAGGCCTATAGCAGTCGTAAGCCTGTTTCCAAATTCATCGAGCTTCTTCTTCAAAGGGGTGTCAGTTTCTTCCAAAGAGGCCTCGTGGATTTGCATCTGTATCTTCCCAACTTCAGTGGTCATTCCAGTGCTCGTGACCACACAAATGCAACTACCATTCACGACTGTTGTGCCAGCAAAAACCATGTTTTCTTTGGCTTGTAATTCACAGTCATCCATGAAGATAGGATTGGTGCCTTTTAAAACAGGCATGGCCTCTCCGGTCAATGAGCTCTGCTCCACTCTTAATGTCGAGGTTGTCAGTGTTGCAACTCTCATGTCAGCAGGGACTTTGTCACCGACCCTCAATTCTACAATATCTCCAGGAACAAGTTCTCTTGCTGGCAAATCGGGAACCAAATATCCATCCCTCAAAACCTTGGCTGATTCACATTGCATCTCTCTAAGGGCTTCAAGTGCTTTCTCAGCGTTGGTCTCTTGCCAAACACCCACAATAGCATTAAGTACTAAAATCAAGACAATCACAAATGGCTCCACATAGGCTTCGAAGACAGACTCGCCAGTTTCGTTTCCGTGCAAGTAAGCTAGAATGAAAGATATGAAGGCTGCAACAAGAAGAATCTTCACAAGCATATCGTCGAACTGTTCTAGTACTAGCCGCCATAGGGGTTTTCCCTTCTCTTTCTGAAGTTCATTCCAACCATACCTCTCACGCCGCCTTTCAACCTCATAAGTGCTCAAACCCTTGTCTAGTTTCACTTTGTACTCTTTCAAACACTGCTCAACACACCATGACCACGCAGAGAACGGTTTTTCATTCATTGATGCTTCCATCTTGAGTACAAAATATCCCTCTAACTAGAACTTATGCATTAATTGCCTTAAACCCATTTCAGTCCCTACACAGGAGTTTATTATACACCAAAAAGAATTTCAGCAAAGCATGAAATATATATTAATATTTGCATAGTTTGAAATTTAATAAAAACAAAAAACCAAACAAACACAGATTCAAACAACAAATTAAACAAATACTAAAATTTTAGAGTATAAATTATGTTCAAGTCTACTTTAAAGAAATTGAAACAAAAAAAATGAGAGTCATCTATCTGATCTTAAGAACATCAAGAAATTGATGTAGACCAACAAAATAAAACAAAAAGCAAGACTTATCACAAGGCAATTTCTACATATATGAAGATAAGATATATGTCACAATCAGTACATCCAACATCTTAGTTAAAAAAAAAAAAAAAAAAAAAAAAGTATTATTTTGTAATTTAAAAAAACCAACTCACTCAAACAAAAGGAAAGCCCTAGTAACCAATTACCTGCTAAAGACCAGCAATATCCAAAACTAACAAATCAGAAAGACCCAACAAAAGGAAAGAAAAAATTTTTTTTATTAAAAACTAAAAATTAAACAAAACCTCCAAGCCAATCACTAAGAACACCAACAAAACTGAAACTATAGAACCACAGAAGAAGCAACATAAAGAAACAAACAACAACTACACATAGAACATAAATGAAATTCTTACAAATAGAAACCCAACTGAAAAGTATGGGCACATAGAGACAAGCCCACTTCACAATTGGCACAAATACAGAAACCCAAAATATATACTCACAATTGCGATAAAGGGTCAAAGAGAGAGAGGCTAAAACTGAAAAAGATGAGAGAAAAGATGACAATGGAGGGACATGTAGTGGGAATTGTGTACCTAAGAAGGAAGATAGAGATGGCTTTGAGACAAAGCAAAGTAAAAGAGGAAATTCTTTGGGGCCTCTGACTGGGAATTTTCTCACTTTGAATGACATTTGATTTGGAAACTGTAACTTCTTCAGTTTGATTGGCAAGGTATTATCTCTCTCTCTCTTCAAACTTTTCAAAGATTGTTGTGCGCTTGTGCTTTTACTCTCGCTCTCTCTGGTTTTTTTTTTTTTTTAGGTCTTTACAAACAGAGTAGGTAGTTTTTGGAATTTTCGGATCTTGTTAGTCTATCCGGTTAGTTATTTTAAATTTTAAACATGAAATTATTGCTCAAATTACGCTTTGACCCTTACGGTTGCAGACGTTATTGGGTTTTGATTTTTAAAAAACAGTTTTTAGAAAAATTTTACTTTTTTATTTTTTGTATTTTAGGTTTTGTTTGTTATGTATTAAAAAAGTCAAAAAGTTAAAAAGTCACTATCCTATTTAAAGCACATCATTTTATTTAAATCACATCACCTCCCTATCACATCACTTCAAACTCAACCCAAATTCAGCTCATATTTCATAAAAAGTCAAAAATACGCTTATGTAGAACCTTCCAAACCACTCCTTAATATTTTTAATATTTTAAGAATTTTTTTTTAATTTTTAAACACACCTAACATAAATACACTTAAAAAATATAATATTTACGACAAAATATTTTAAAAAATTAATAAATATATAATATTTACAAAAATAAATATATTTGTATATTTATTAATTTTTTAAAATATTTTTTCGTAAATATTATATTTTTTAAATATATCTAAGTGATTTACATTTTAAAAAAATTACTTAAAATTTAAAAAATATTTACTAAAAATAAAAATATAAAAAATACAAAATTCAATTTTTCAAAAACTAAATATAAAAAATTAAAACCAAACACTCCCAATTGAGCTTACCGTAAACATGAAAAAAATGACACTCATAATTTTGTAGAAAAATGCTTGGAGCACTAATTAGTGTTCCCACTAATTAGGTGGCAGTGGGTTCCGCCATTAATGATGTGATATTTTGGCCTTGGAGTTGTATTTTTTTTTTTTTACTTTTTTAATGTATTAGTGCTATTAGTAGTGATATTTTTAGTGAGATAAATCATTATTGAATTTTGTATTACATATTTAAAAATTATAAAGAAACATGAAAATTTATGATGAATAAAGAGTATCACGGCATGACGCCCCAATCGTTAAATAATTTTCTTTTAGGGCAAATTACATATACACCCCTTGAGGTTTGACTAAATTACAGATATCCCCTGAGGTTTGAGAAATTACGAATTTCCCGCTGAATGCTATATTTGCATAAGAAATTAGGGGGTAATTTGTTATGAAATATAAACCTCAGGGGGTAAATTGTTATGAAAATACAAACCTCAGGGGGCGGGATGTAATTTTCGAAACCTCAGGGGTATCTGTAATTTAACTAAACCTCAAGGGGTGTATATGTAATTTATCCTTTCCTTTATGGTTTTGACCTCGTACGGATTGTGACGTAATCGCACCCGACCACGCAGCCACGCAGTCCTTGTGATTTCAGACAATTTTCTTGTTTCATTTGGTTTTCAAATTTAAAATTTTAACCTTTGAAATAAAGACTAGTTTGATAAGGGATAAATTACACTAACACCTTGAAATTTTTATTTAACACAAATTCTTCTTACATTTAAAAAATTATATTTATTTTTTGATTAAATTAAAATGACATATTTGTCTTTTACACTTTATACATGTAAAATAATAAAATAATACATATATTTTGTTTATATAATTTTAAAGAAAATAACAATTATCTTCTTTAGTTTAATTCATACAAAAAATTAAATTTTTTTATTTTTCAAGTTTTTTATTTTTACTGATTTTTTTTCAATATTTTAAGTAATTTTTTATTTTTTAAATACACTTAATCTAAATATATTTAAGAAGTATAATATTTCATGATTTTTTTAAAAAATTTACTAAATACAAAAAAATATAAAATATAAAAATTTAATACATTATCTTATTTTGTTGTATTCAATAAATTTTTTTAAAAAAAATTATACAAATTTTATCATTTTTAAATATATCTAGATTAAATTGATCTAATCTAGATATAATGGTGGAAATAAAAATGAAAAATCATATTCATATATAAAAATTTATACAAAAGTATCATAAAAATGTTGTGATAGTGATATTATTGTAAATGATGAGGATACTGTCCTACATCGCCTAAGAAGGACTCCTATTTCCTCCTTATAAGCGTACTGGTCCCTTCCACCTTGTACAAGGCCTTTTCCACCGAGGAGGAACAAAACCGTGAGGCTCCAGCCAAAGCAAACAATATATGCAGGGACGTGAGAGGCCAGGCACGCAAAGTTTGGCACTAGAAGGAGGGCGATTCGACAAACTATCCCGTTGTTCGTGGCCCAGTCTGCTAGGGAGCTATGACGAGGACACTGTCCCACACATTGCCTGGCTACTCACGCCCCTACAGATATTGTTCGCTTTGGTTGAAGCCTCACGATTTTGTTCCTCCTCGAGAAAAAATGCCTCGTACAAGGTGGAGGGGACCAATACGCTTTATAAAGTGGAAGTGGGAGTCTCTCTCAGGCAATGTGGGATAGTGTCTTTATCATAGCCCCCCCGTGGACTGGGCTGCGAACAGCAGGAGAGTTTGTGGACTGCCCTGCTTCTAGCGCCAAACTTTGCATGCTTGGCCTCTCACGCCCCTATAGATATTGTCTGCTTTGGCCAGAGCCTTACGGGTTTGTTCCTCATCGGGAGAAAAGGCCTCGTACAAGGTAGATGGGACCAATACGCTTATAAGGTGGAAGTGGGAGTCTCTCCCAGGCGATGTGGGAAAGTGTCCCCATCAGTAAATATAAATCATATCTATGGATTTTTTGTTTTAAAATGAAAAGACCACCATTAAGCTATATAATTGTGTTTTAAAATTCTGTATAAAATTTATATTTATATATCATCACTCAATAAGAATGTGTTCAGGTAGAATTTAATAATGGAAGATTGTAGAATGTAATCGTGATGATAGGAAGAATAAATGATAAGAAAAAGGACAAGATGGCCATTTAGAAAATTTTAGGACATGACATTAGCAATCCAGAGGGCAATTTGTAATGAGATTACAAATCTTGAGAAGAAGAATGTAATTTTTCAAATGTGAGAGAGGGAATCTGTATTAAATAAAAATCTCAAGAGGTGTCAGTGTAATTTAGCTTTTGATAAATAAATAAATAAATAAATTAGTATTATTTTCATTTTATTTTTTGTTTTGGAGGGACAAATATATTTATAATTACATTAATAAGTTTAAAATTAAGAGTGAGCATGGCTCCAATTGATTCTGTTTAAGAGTAAATAAGGATCAAACTCTTACTTATCGTTCATAAAATCAAGAACCAAATTAAAACATAAAAAATTTAGAATCAAACTAGACTGAATCAGTAAGCCACGATTTGATTCGATTTAAAATTACGATTTTAGAAACATTGTTATCATTTACAACATGATCACAAAATATCATTCACAATCTAAAATTATTTAATTATTTAGAACTACTTCTACCACTGTGTAAGAATACACTTGTAAAAATAAAATGTTAAGTATATGTATTTTATATAAATAAGATATTTGAATATTTACTGTAAGTAACAAATTATATATATATATATATATTTAGACTGTCTAATTCGATTCTAAATCAAATTTGTATGAGCACAGAATAATTTTATCGTATAATCCTGTTGATCAAGTTTGCATTCTTCTAAACGTTGTTATTTTACTACCTGAAAACACAAACGTGAGCTAACCGGCAGGAGTGTGCTGGAAACCTATCTGATGCTTAAGTCAGCAAAATAGACAATAGACATAAAAACTCTATGTATTTGAGAGTTAGAATTGTGATACCTGTACATAGGTCATGTTATGAGCTTTTATAGATTCTGTCTGGCACCATCCTAGTAGGACTAACACTCCTTAGCAGAGTTTTCTTAGGAATTATACTCCCAAAGATAATGCCTATCCTGATAAAACTCACTCATTGCTAACCAAGTGAAATAGTTGCAACTCTTACCTCGACTGGTACCACACCTAACCGAGCTTACACAGCTCGGTGCTGCTTAGGCAGTACCATGGTAGTCCTAATTATGAGATGGTGCCCTGCAGAGCTACCCTTAGCTCGGTCCTCCTTCTTACTAACACCTCGGTCTTCTGCAAGGTTTAGCCTGGGATAGCTAGGTCAGGCCCCTGGCAGCCCATCTCTGACCGACTTGATGCCTAGATGATCCAGGACCGTGCTATCCAAACACTTACTCCGGCCCGTAGTTCGGCCCAATGTCTAAGATAAATGGACTTAACTTGGCCATAAATTACCCTCTCAAGATTTGTAAGTACAAAATTACCAATCGAATCGTGAAGTATGAATAACCCATTTTAGAAATCATGATCTAATCTTACATTAATAAAATCAAATCAAATTGTACAGTTTGATGTCGATCAAACTAAGCTACAAATTTTTAATTTTTTAACTCCATCCTATTTAAAATTATGAATCTCTAAATATTTCTCTTGTAAACAAGCTATTAAATATTTTTCATTGTTTAATATTAAGATACGTACGTTGTAATGTTGGTAGGCGTCACGTAACACTCAAAATATTTTAAGACGAACCGTCTTTGTTTTCGTTAATTTTAAGTCATTCATTGAATCATTGTTTTTTATTTTTTTTATTTTTTTAAATATAAATTATGGGAAGAAGACACGTTTTTGAAACTTTTCAACTGTGTTTCAAGTTTTAAATTTATATTTCATTTTTTTAATCTTTATTGAAATAAGGCTAGTATTCCGATCAGTAAACAAGTAATATTAGAGATTAAGAATTTAAACATAAAATAATAGCGAAAAAAATATGCGTGCTAAAATCCAAACATACAATCAATTCTAATCTTTCTCTTGAAAATATAGAAATAAAGTTGAAAAGCACATAATTGTTACTGAATTTCATATGCAGCAATATCACGATCCAACAAAGTCAGAGAGCACATAATTGTTGTTGAAATTCATGAAAGATTTTTCACTTTTGGATTACA